AGAGGCATAGAGAAAAGAGGGAATGACTGACAGAATGAGTCAGAAAAGGCATCACAAAGTTGGGTTTCTTATTTGACTGCTCTGGGTAAATCCACTCCAGGGCAGCTACATAATCCTCTCAAAGTGGCTCTTTCCAAAGAGAATGTGTAGCCTGAAACTAGTTTGTCTGAGAAGTTTCTATCTGGCTTTCTCACCAGCAACTCAGCACCTTAGTTTTCTAATATGGTGTCAGTATCAAACCTTGAACCATCACTATAAAAATTATATAGGTCTTGGACCCAGACCTCATGTGACAGTCCCACTAAGCTACTACACAAAAACCAGGTCTCCCAGGACCCACAGGAAATGCTATTAAAGACCATCTAATGAGCAACAATAAGGCTAAGAGGCAACCAGTTTAGAGAAAGACTGGCAGCATGGCAACAGAATAGTAACAGAACCTAGGAGCTTTGGAATGTTGAACTATAAAATCATACCATTCTAGAGCCACGGAAGAACTTTTGTCTCCTGCCTTCTTGCTCTGGGTTGGGCCCTGTGCTAAGTGTTAGGAAATGAAATCATATAAGATGCTGGCCTCAAGCAGACTGATGACAAAATAGGCAGAGGAACAGATCACTGCAATTAGTGTGCTCAGTGCTATGATGAGATAAGCATAAGAGGCTGTGGGAATGCAGAAGACACCTATTTTAGCCTGTGGTTTTCAGGAAAGATTTTAAAAAGGTAATATTTAAATTGAGTCTTAATTGTCAAGTAGGATTTAACCAAATCAACAAAGGAGAAAGGAAGAACAGAGGGAACAGCGTATATGAACACAGGAAAGAAAATGATGTATCCTAGGAATTGCTGATAAATCAGTGCAAATACAGAAGAAATGTCATGAGGAGTGGTAGAAAATAAGAAAGAAAGTGGATAAGAAAAATAAGAATGGATCTGTATATTAAATTCATCAAGCACAATGCTTGATATATAGAATGTACTTGGTAAATTTTTTAATGCAGGAATGTTTGCACAAATTATTGAAAAGAAACAGTACCTTTTGAGGCTAATACAAGAGTTGGATAAGTAATGGCAGAGAACCTCAGCATTAAAATATAAAGAAATTCTCAGGATATAAAAGAAGATAATCAGTTGGGTTTTTTGTCTTTGCTTTTGCAGTGCAGGAAACTGAACCGAGGCCCTTGTGCATGTTAGACAAGTGTTCTACCACTGAACTACATCCCTAGCCTTTTTTTAAATTTTATTTTGAGACAGGATTTCACTAAGTTGTGAAAGACGGCCTTGAACTTGCAATCCTCTTGTTTCAGTCTCTCCAGTAGCTGGATCACCAACTTGCACCACAATGGACAGCTTCAGATTTTTATTTATATATCTTTTATCCCAAGTGAGGTCATTCATTTTCAGATTATGGATGGGTATTTGATTTCAATGCATTGACCAACATTTCATAGATAACCACAAAACAATCATTGTCATTTGCTATAATAATTTATTTTGTCAATAATTATTGATAGTTCAATACTTTATTGAGTCTTAACTGAAACAACAGATGTGCTCTAAGTTTATCACTACTTCTACACAAACTCAAGTTTTATCTCCTAAATAGGAGAACCAATATTTATTCTATCAAAATAAATATGATTACTATATGTGATTTTATAGGAATTTACTTGTAACATTTTATCAGTATTTTTATTTCTCCATGTTCCATTTAAGAATATTATTTCCACCCAGAAATTTGGTTCCTTAACATGACTGTTTCATTATTAAAAGAAAAAAGGGCTGGGTGTATAGCTCAGAGTACAGAATGTGTTTAGCATGCTCAAGGTCCTGAATTTGATCCCCAAGTACCATTAAAAAAAAAAAAACATAGCCTGAGCCACCAGGCTCATAGGTACACACTGGTGATCCCAGCATTTGGTAGGTAGAGGCAGGACAATCACAAGTTTGAGGGCAGCCTGGGCTACATGGTGAGGACAAGTTCAGCCTGAGCTATAACAATAAGATCCTATCTCATCCTACAAAAGACTGATCCTTGAGAAATAGGAAACTAGTAAAGCCATACAATTGTACCAGTTTATGGCCTTGAGAGAGTTTTCAGACATGGCTCAGGGAGTCGAACTAAAGTGAGAGGGGGGAAATTGAAATACACCATTGTAAGATTCTTATACCACATATGACAAGGCATACTATCTTTTAAAAGTAGACTGTGTCCAGGCGACAGTGACTCATGTCTATAATCCTAGCTACTTGGAAGGCTGAGATTGGGAGGCTCATGATTTCAGGCTAGCTCAGGCAAATAGTTTGAGAGATCCCAGCTCCAAAATAACCAGAGCAAAATGGACTATAAGTGTGACTCAAGAAGCAGAGTACCTGCTTTGCAAACTCAAAGCCCTGAGTTCAAACCCCAGTACTACCCCCCCAAAAAAAGTAGACTGTGATAATTTATACATATATATATATACACACACACATACAAATATATGTATATATATATATGAATATATATATACACACACATATGTATATACATATATATAAAGTATAACATCATCATTTAAAACCTAGGAAAGTAATGATGTACTTTATATAAATCAGTGCCTCACAAAGGACAATAATATTGTTTCTATTGGCTCAAATATGCAAACAGCAATTCTACTTTTCAAAGAGTCTAGAAAACCTATCCAACATTCATTCCTTTCTTTATTTAATTTTTTACAGCACTGGGGTTTGAACTCAGGGCCTCACGCTTGCCAAGCTCCCTTACTGCTTGAGCCACTCCACTAGCCATTCCTTCCTTTAAAGAATAGTCACTCCCCCTACCTTATATGGTGCAGGAGGGACAGGAAATTACAGCATTCCTTAAACCTGTTCACACATATTTTCATTAATCACCACCCTGTATAAATCTGTAATCCAGACTATGCCAATCTGATTCTGTATCCCCTTCACTCACTGCCATACATATCTCCCTCTTGAGTAAAGACACTTAGGGATGAGTCATCTGAGAGCAGGCAATTAGAAAATGCCAATCCCCCTTAGTCTCTGTTACTGGGATCCCTGGTGTAGTCTTGTTTTTGACCATTCCTTAGCCCCACTAGTTCAGTTCTTCCTTACTTGATTACTTAATGATGTGTAATAAGGGATTGTAGGTCATTGGTAGAGTGCTTCCCTAGCACATGCCAAGACCCTAGGTTATATTCCCAGCACCAAAAACAAAAAAAGCATACAATTTGGCTAGTCTTTGTCTTCTATTCCTGAGAACTAACAACCAAACTCTTGGAAATTTCCTCAAAGATAGGAGTTTTTTTTTGTTTTTTTTTCTTTTCTTCCTTGAGGTGCTGGGGATCCAACCCAGGGCCTTGCACATGCTAGGCAACCACTCTATCACTGAGCTACATACTCAGTCCAGGAGTATCATTTTTATTCATGGTGGACCCCTTTGATCACACTTAGGTTTGTGTTAGTGAGCTGGATTAGGAAGGGGCCCTCCGGTCACCAGAAAGATCAACCATACAACTAGAGAACTGGAGTTTTGGGTCAGTGATCCAGCCCTTTCTTTGAGAGGAAAAAAGGGCTGAAGACAGTTCAGTCATGTGACCTATAGTTCAATCAATCGTGCCTATATAATGAAGAACATTAATAAAAATTATAGACAACAAAATTTGATTGAGGTTTCTGGTTAACAAATACACTGATGTGCTGGGAGGATGATGTGTTCTTATTCCACAATGAGAACAAGTACTACATTTAGGATTCTCTCAAATCTCCTGGCTAATCCTAATTTGTATGCTTTATAATAAAACTGTCTTTCCTGAATTCTGAGAATAGCTCTAGCGAATGATGGAATCTGAGGAGATTACATTTGTAGCCAGTTGGCCAGAAATGCAGGCGACCTAGGAACTCCCAGAGATGATTACAGCTAGTGTCAGAAATGAAAGCAATCTCACTCGCTTTTCTTTTATTTTTAGCAGTACTGGGGTTTGAACTCAGAGTCCTGCACTTGCTAGGCAATTACTCTACCATCTGTAAAGGACAGTCTTCTTAGGAACTATGCCCTTAATTTGTGAAGTCTGCAGCAACTGTGGGTAGTTAGTTGCAGTTAACCTCTTCCTTTGCCTCGTTTTCTGCATCTCTAAATGGAGATAAGTGAATAACCAGAGCATCTATACTTCATAAGGTTTTTGTGAGGAATAAACAAATTAATATACATAAAAGTTAGAATAGTGCCTAGCACATATTAAATACTACATAAATGTCAGGGTAGTTTTTGAGTTGCTGTTGTTTTTTTATTAGAGTCCAGAGCTAGTGAATGTAGAGATTAGCAGGCTTTTCTGCTAAGAACTAAATAACACAGAGAAAAAAGGCTGGCTTCCAACATTACTCAGAAAATGTTAACAACACTAATCACACAGATAGGACTGACATTAGCTGGCCAATGTTCTGAACACAAATGACCACTGCTGATATCTACATCAGTTAGCTATACTCAGGCCAGCCAGTTTGAGCTAGTGCCAGAATTATTACATGCTTTTAGTAATTCTGGAAACTGTCACTCTGAATAATGAAGCAAGTTACTGGTAAGAATAGGACACACAAAGATTCTTTTAGTCTATCAAACTACTAAGTGTAATATATAGTGAGTCAGTCCTAAAAGGTACACCATTTCTCCTATCTTAGCTGTGAGCACATTACTGTACATTCAAGTGTTTTTATATACTTATGGGTAATATGGACGCTCTCTTCCAAAAAACTCACTTTATTGTCTTCCATTTTCCTGTAATTTAGAATACACTGGAAGTGTTCCAAATAGTTTCTAAGTCCAGAAATAAAGCTCTTACAGAAAACTGCCTAGAGCTGTTTTCTAGTATAATGATTCAATCCTTCCATTTCTGCCTTCTCTTGCTCACTTTCCCCTCATTGCTTCTCTGGGAGTTTCAGAGAAGGCCAGGAAAGCTCTCCTCGCCATCTTGCAAGTCTCAGTTCCTACTTATAAAACCTACCTTTAAAAACCAGGCATCTTAACCTCATGTTGTGAGAGAAGAATACCAAAATTAAATGGTACTGATGGAAGATTTTTCCTGGCAATGCTAATACAATTCCAAAGCTCATGTCACTGCTTCATCTCTCATCAGTAGGCAGGCTAAGTTGCATAGAAGCTATTAAAAAGAAAAAGGAAAAAGAAAAAAAAAAAACCCACAAGGAACTCAGCTTCCCAGGATTTCCAGGAAGCTCTCTCCCATAGTTCCCTCATGCTTCTAAATTGATAAAACAGAGTTAACAAGAAGCATCAGCCTGTTCATCCCAGAACTAGGATGAGACCTGCTATAAATCTAATACTTTTTATCCACATTACACATGATCCCTTCCAAATCTAAAATTCTAGACTCTTAGGTTCTTAGGTAAGAATTTAAATAAAAATAGAAACTGCCTCATTCCTACCAAAAGAATTATTCCCTACCATCAAAGTAGTACTTTAACCAAGACAGTAAAAAAAAAGCATTGGTCTGGGAACCAGAAGACCCAAGTTTAAGTCTAGTTTTACTAAATGTATCACAATAAACAAGCAATTTTATAAACAAAGGGCTAAGTTTCCTCATCTAAAAACAAAGAAAGATGGAAACGGTGGTACATGCCTATAGTTCTAGCTACTCCACAGAATGAGGCAGAAGGATCACTTGAGCCTAGGAAATGAGGCCAGCCTTGACAACAAACAATACATAAAACCCAGCAACATGGCTGGCAGATACTTCAAGTGGTAGAGCACCTGCCTAGCAAGCAGGAGGCCCTAAATTCAAACCCCACTACCTCCCCTTTCACAACCAAAAAAAAAAAAAAGAAAGAAAGAAAGAAAAAGAAAAAGAAAGCAACCCTGGGGGTAATTAAGTTTAACCCTTCTTAGCATCAGGAGCTGTACCACCAGACCCTGGAAGAGATTGCTTACAATCTTATTTATATGAAAGGAAGCTCTAGACATAGATATAAATGGAGGGGAAGCTGAAGCCCTGTTATTTTCTTTACGGCTCACACAGACATACTCTTTCAATAAGAACTCTGAAGAAAAATGCTCCAAAAAAAAAAGTGATAGCTATGGTTTTGCAGTTTTTTGTATGAAAAAAATCTAACATTTTCATTAAATTCAATGTGAGTCTGTGAAGTGATATGACTGCTGAAGACACCACTGTGTTAACAAACA